AAACATTATAAAATCATTCCCTGACTACTAAATTACCACATTTCACTTTCCTATCATAGTTTCATCTGACTCCCTGGAACGAGTTGATTTAAAACTGAATTTGAATCAAATACACTGTAAGCATCAACTGTGGTGGCGGTTTATGGACTGCCATTTAGCTGCTAGATTACAGCAGGTGTCTTTCCTATCATAGTTTTAATCTCACTTTGGAACTAGTACTTTTAAAAAGTGTGATCTGTTTGTGGACTGATATTTGAACATACTAGTATTTTGACTTTCTCCTTGGAGCAGTTTAGAAACATCTGATTGAGTTGGTAGGTTGTGGCCCTAATTAGGATAAAACAATTAGTAGTTTCTTAAGGACTCTTGCTTGTCATCTTTATGTCCTGTAGGAAACATTAATTAACTTGGATAAAACATCAGTTCTGGATTGAGAGATAACTTATACATGACAATTCAGATTGCTGATTTTTTGCTTGTTGCTTCTGAGTTTGTGGTGCGTGACTTCTGTTGGATCTTCCTAATTTAATTTCATTATTCTATAACTGAATAAGTGTTTGAAATGATCAAAAGGTCATTATAAATATTCTTGACAAATGTGAATTCTAGCTGAAAATTTGTGAAGAAGTTTGACATGAAGGCAGATTATTCTATAGTGATTAGACAAGCATCAACACCGTTCAATTTGTAACATTTACCAACAATTCTCGGAGGATTACCTACACCAATTAGTTAAATTGGTTCAGACTAGATCAGTTTTAATACAGCCATATTAATTCATCAAAATCATCAAATGCCAATCCATCCTCTTCACTTCCCGAGTCTGTCTCTGTATGGGAGGATGGGTCTAGTTGCCATGGAGAAAGGGATACAGGTTAAAATGGATGATAAAATAATACCCATGGTATGTATTACATTTTTACAGGTGTTGCTCACAATCTGCATAATGTCGTATCTTGGGCTCAAAGTATGGTAGTGGATTCTAATCCCCTAATGATTGTCAGATTCTGAAAGTCTAGTAGACTGAGTCCTCAGTAATCTAACTTTGTAAAATCATTGCCAAGAGATTAAGCGAAGGACCAGCTGGTAGATGGAATCCTAAGTTGTTATTTTTTTGTAAAAAATGGTTCATGCTTTCTGTCATAAATTTTGGTAAATTGAAACAATTGTTTGACATGAAATTTCATATGAAAAACTGACTGTCTGTTTCTCCCAGTGACCTGCAATGACCATTTTATCTTTTAATATTTTAACAATAAAACTGGGTTAGATCTCACCAATAAAAAAAGTGTATTTGACATTTTAACTTGTATTTATATAGCCTTCAATTAATGTTATTATATTCAGGTTATTGTTTTAATGTTCAGAACAGTTTTAACACTTGTAGGTTGGATTTCAATTTTTCATTGTGTCTAAATATGTTAAATAATTATAGGTTGTGATATTTAATACAGTTGAATCTAACTCGTGTGTTTTCAATATTTCACAAGAGGATTGAAGAACAATATTAACATCAATATCTACCATTCCAATATCCACCATTCCAATTTCCAGTCAGATATCTGGTTGTTGTATTAGTTTTATAACATCACTCGATCATAAAAACCACTAAAAATTTAAATGGTCATAGCGAAAATCATAAAATAATTGCTTTTGGTGGATTTGATTTCTTTGGTTGGAAGAAGAAACCACAAATCAAGTCATTCTTCCATTTATTACAGATATAGCTCAAAAATACTGTTTAATATTCTGAAATATATCTCTCATTTACACATCATACAAAATATCCATAATGAACCTCCCTTGTAAATGTCAGGGGTCTAAATAAGAATTTTACAGATTGGAATGTCAGTAGAATGAATAATCATCTCAAATATTCTAACATTTAACATTTATACATGATTATTTGATGATAAACTTGGTGAGATTATAAATAATTAACAATGATTGCCCCTATTTATTAATTAGTTAGGGTAGGGGTTGGGTTTGGAAAGGTCAGGGAGGTTGGATTTTAGCATAGATAGCAATGAGGGAAAGTGTTAAGGGGGTATTGCCAAGCAGTATGGTCAGGTTGTAGGGGTAGGGCTAAGGACTAGCAGGCAGTATGGTGAGGGTAGGGTTTAAACAAAGACCAAGAGTCAATCAGCTGTTCACACTTGAATAGTTAGTAGTTGATCTGTGAACAGATGGCTCTATTGTTATACCAACTGATACATTGTGATATATTAGTTACTTGGCCAGTGTTTTTATAAGAAATTTTTCACTTTCTACACTTTGTCTTGTATTGGTACAGTTACCATAGTTTGTGTTTCATTCATTTTTCCTATCTGGGATCTTATTTTTGAAATCGTTACTAAGGTAATATCTAGATTTGAGGAAATAGAGTGTTCTGATTGGTTAAAACAGTAAAATTTAAGCATGATAACCAATCAAATGAAGAGAATGTTAAACTTGAACTTGAATGGGCATCACATGAACCAAATTTTTGAAGTGAAAATCAGACCTATGGTATTAAATATTTATAATACAGTATTAGAAGTAAAGTAGGTAGAATAACTGAATATTATTAATAATAAAATGAGGCAAATGGTGGTCGCTAATTGATAATTAAATTTGGCATTTTAACAGATGGTATAATTACAGTAGATTGGTAATTATTATAACTCTACCCCTGTCTTGTTTTTATAACTATATCACTATTATAGTTCAACCAACCTCAGATAGATTGCTACTTTGTTATACCTCAGATTGGTACTTTGTTATACTTTGTTGCACTTAGTTTGGATCCCTTTTACTGGCCTTCATAGGACAATAAGATTAGTATAAAGGAATCATATTGGTGAAGTTTTTGATGATTGTGGTTTTGTTTGGATATAGATAATACTTATCGAAGGATCTAAGGATTTTTCTGTGTCAGTGGATCATCAGTGTAAATTTTGGATAATAAGAAACAATTTTAAGAAAGTATATAATTAGCAACTTATCTTGAAGATATAAGGATTGTGAAGCTGTCAAATATTGACCACCAAGGGGATTGACTATAACTTGTAATCTATTAAAACAATGGAGATGATGAAGTGATAATATAAGTAGTTAACAAGTAGGAAATGTGATAAAGTAACAACCAGTAGGATTAAACCAGAAACAAAGGATTAACTTGTCCTAAATTAACAGCTTGAACTTTGACCTCATTTCCTTCCCCCCCTGGATTTTAGTTTAACTTTTCTTTATGTCGGAATATCCCTTGTGGGTAGGTCTTACTTTTCTTTTCAAATTTAAATTTTCAATATGAAACTTATGGTTCCGTTTTATTGTCTTCAATTTTCAACTCTAGGTTCAATATTCTGGTTTTCCATGGCTTTATTATTGAAACCTGTAGAAGCAGAAATATCAATATATAATTCATGATTTTAAAAATGATAATGAATGAAATTCTAACAATGAAATTGTTTACAAGTAGCTGTAATGGATTTTATATTTTTATATATATATTGGTTCACTGAGGATATTTGTTATACAATGCACTGACTAAGGTCACAAGATTTCCCAGGTTTAAATGCTAGAATAATACAAGAGTAGTCTAGATTGACAAGGTCTTGTAGACTAGATCTACCAGGTCATGTATCAATAGTCGAGTAGAAATATTGATTTTTTCATCCCTGAAGCATGATACCACAGAATCTCTTTCACAGAATCTACAATATAGACCTGAATAACATGAATAACATTCTTTACTGATATAGTTTGTGGTTATTACATACAAAATGGCTGTTATTTACCTCAGTTCGCACTGATATTTATTCACAATTCAGAGTAAATCTGATTCTAAGCATAAGCAGTCGGTAATTTTAGGGTACTACAAGCAAAAAACCAGGCTTAATACAGTATAAATACTGTGGACTGTTAATAATATATAGACACAGCTTTATGGAACAACAATCACAAGTTTTATGCAACGTTTCGATGGTTTCCCCCTTCGTCCTCAGGCACATAATGAGAAGAAGTGATGGGCAAACTATATATACATTAATGCTTATTATTAAGAACATTTGTTCCATAAAGCTGTGTCTATATATCGTACTCACAATTGCTAAATGCCAGTCAAAGACTTTGACTGTTAATAATGTTTTATATTTAAATGGTATACAAATGAAAATACTCTCCTAATGTTACAGATCATCTGGTCATTGATTAATTTACACTTTCAATACATGTTCTAAAACAAAGTTGTGAAAACCAGCTATGTTTTTTATTGTTATCCAAAACATACAATATAGATTGTTGAAACGTAGTGTGTAATAAAACTAAGGAGTAGTATACTATATAAACTGATGTTGAAACGTAGTGTGTAATAAAACTAAGGAGTTATATACTATAAAATTGTGTTCTGTTATTTAAATGTAACAGTGAATTACAACAGATTACTGTTCTGTGGGCGTATATTGCTGTTACATTTGCAATTATTCAGACAAATTTAGTTATCAAAAATCTTAACTTTTCCTTTTTTTCATTACAGCACATGGTGCAGAATCAGATGACTCCAACCTACACATTTCCCCAACCCAGTTTGGAAGATTATCATCACCAGGTGGCCTCACAAGCAACAACAACGACAGTTGATACAACTCAGAATCCCATCTACGCTACACCTACCGCCATGCCTGTAGCTCCCCCTAGTGGTGTACCTGTTGAACAACCAACAGTAAGAATCTTATATTTATATAAATTGTATAAACTTTCGCTTTTGGCAAAAATATATCAATACTTTCATGCTTCATTGTATCATTTACATAAATATTTCGTTACTTTTAAGCTCTTTATCCTTAAATTGTGATTGTTCTGTTAGCCCATTGTGTAGGTTTGAAACCTGCCCAAGTTTGGAAATTCTGAAGCCAGTGTGTCTTGGTTGAGTCAATTTATTTAACGTTGTTTTCTATCTATCTTTACAGCAGACAGAAGTACCTGAAGGAGGTGAAAATGCAGTACAAAGTCCCCCACCCGCCGGAACCCAGCAATCTAACAGCGGACCTAAACGCCTACACATTTCTAACATACCATTTAGATTTCGTGAAGCTGACCTGAGGCAGTTACTTGGGGTAGAAGTAATATTCAGTTTTTTCCCTTCCTTAGTTTTTATTATTTTACCCTAGAAACTTCTCATTCGTCTTATACCAAATTTTAGAAATTTTATGGAAATGGTCTGTATTTTCACTGTAACTAGTTCGATGTAAAAAGTCTAGAAACCAAGTTTGCTTTGCAAGTACCTAATTTTTGAAATTATCCGGCTAAATTTAATATTTTTTGAAACCATGTTTTGCTTACAAGCAAGTACCTTGATGAATTCCGTGAAAATTCTAGAACTGAATCAAGTACCCTGCCTATTTTAAATCATTCGTATTAAGGCCACAAGTACCTCATTCAAGTTTATTTCAATTTTCAAGATGTCGCAAGTAAAAAAAAATTACCTAGAATCAAATTTCAGTTAATGGTAAAAATAAAAAACCATTATTTCTTTAACACGGCTAATAACCTTTGAATCTTCTGTCAACATATCGAAATTCACTGAATTTATGTCTGAATGACCACGATTAATTACCTGATTGTTACAACAATGTTGTCAGTGTCTTAGCCACATCCCGAAATTTCAGCCATTTTGGGTAATTCAGTCAAAAATGCCATTTTATTTACCTAATTTCTAGTAAAAAGAATTCTTGTTGATTGGTCAAATCTTGGCCTCATTTGATGTCCAAATTGTTTTACCTGAGGTATTTCTAACAAGTTTTCTTTTCCAAATGTCAATCAAACATGTTTGGTTTTAAATGCGTTGACCACAATTTCATTTTACATCAATACCTAAATTTGGGCTATATAATCTTATAGTATTCTCATTTTTAATTAATTAATCAACCCACACAGTCAAAAATAATAATTTGGTATTTATAACTTTAAATTGTTGCTTGAAAATTTTGACTTTGACTATTTCTGAAAACACGGAAGGAAAAGTATTTAACCTGTATAAAAGACAGTGAGATGTTTCTGTTGTAGAATCCATAGTTATTTATTTTATATTATTGTTTATTGTTTACACCAACTATATCTGGTGCTTGTTCATGACTGGAAATTACCAAAGACAGAATAGCGAAAATTACGATTTCAACAATTCAGTAGATCATTTCATATGATGCAGGCAAACCCTCCAGGCAAGGAGAAATTCCTAATCTATGACAAGTTGTCATAGATTATCATAAGTTTGGTGATTTCTGACAACAGGCAACTGGTGGCGCTGTTCTGACAGAGTTAGCATGCAATTTCCAGTCATAAGATGTTATAGTTACCCTGAATGTTAGTACCCCCACCCTACCAATAACCATAGCAACCCCCAACCTAATATATATATATATATTGTACAGTATAGTAGTTCCCCTTGTTAATTGCATGAAACCTTACAAATTTTGAAAACCTAAATTTGTTTAAAATTAAAAGTCATAAGATGATATTTGAATACAATTAGTACTGTGTGTGCTGCTAGCAATAAAAGGAACAAATTTCGCAAATCTCCAACTTAATGTCAACTCAGCATCCTTTTCGGACATTCCAAACAGCCAATCTTTATTATAGAAATACTGAAATAATATAATTAGCTAATATTCTAGACAACTAACGATCAATAAGTTAGGATATGATACCATGCTAGAGGTCAAAGATCATATGAATCATACAGTCAAGATATTTGTTTGAAATAAGGTGATCATGTGTAAAGAAATTATTCCGATGAATTAGAAATATGGTCTGGATTCTACTAGGATGTCTGTAGTCTACAATAGATCGCAAAGTGTGGTTATGTATATAAGGCTCCATGTTATTAGTGACATCATTAACACTTAGGTTTAGTAGAATTGTAAGAAATGCAGATGTCTGATTGAAAATTGAAACAATACACATCAAATATTTAGAAAACATCTTTATAATGCCTTCAAAACTAGACAAGACTGGAAAATTAGTCAAATTGGTCCTGTTTAGAATTTCTTCCAAATTGTTAAAATTTTAAATCATACATATAATATTATCTTATGATTAATAGATATCGTTTAAAATTGATAGATTTCTCAGATCAATTTCTTACTCTCTATTGTTCTTGAAACAACATCCATCAAATTTAACGGAATAACTTCGGAAATAATGTAGACATGATTTGATTCTGAAACCTGACTCGGCATCTAGGGAAGTTGATTTTAATGAGAAATTTGAAATTGAGAAAGAGTAAGACAGTGATTTATATTGTATTACAAGTTATACATAGTTATACAAGTTACACATAGTAATACAAGTTACACATAGTAATACAAGTTACACATAGTAATACAAGTTACACATAGTAATACAAGTTACACATAGTTATACAAGTTACACATAGTAATACAAGTTATACATAGTAATACAAGTTACACATAGTAATACAAGTTACACATAGTAATACAAGTTACACATAGTAATACAAGTTACACATAGTAATACAAGTTACACATAGTAATACAAGTTACACATAGTAATGCAAGTTACACATAGTAATGCAAGTTACACATAGTAATGCAAGTTACACATAGTAATACAAGTTACACATAGTAATGCAAGTTACACATAGTAATACAAGTTACACATAGTAATACAAGTTACACATAGTAATACAAGTTACACATAGTAATACAAGTTACACATAGTAATACAAGTTACACATAGTTATACAAGTTACACATAGTAATGGGAAGTCTAGTAAATTTTTAAAATTGTCATCCCTGGGATACCTGAGTTTGATTTGTTCTGTGTCGTGTTTCTATTTAACAATTTATTCTAAAAACTTGAATTGTAAATTTCTGAATCACAGTTAAAAATTCAATGAATCATTTGATACTTTATTTTTTATTGTGCCATCAAGTATTGAAATGATCCCACAAAATCTTGGCTTGAAAATTGATGCATGAAGTTTATTTTGAGAATGTTTTATTTTCAGTTTGGTACGATTTTAGATGTAGAAATTATTTTTAACGAACGAGGGTCAAAGGTAGGTCAAGGTTATTTTATAGTTTGTTAGGATTTCCATTTTAAACAGTGGCAAGGTCCTTTCTCTGGTGCAAACTCCCACCCCCGTCAAATAAGTCAAGCAGACAATGAAAGCCCCTTCTTATTGTGCAAACGTTGCTCTCCTCCAGTGATTCCCACCCCTATCCCCAGCCCCGTTGCTATAAATTATTATTGCCACTGTTTATATTGAGTTCAATTGAAATAGGGTTGAAGACTTGCCTAGAGAACAGATGTAAATTTGTTCCAATCAAATCCCAGAATCTCTTTTCTTCTCATGTTTTCCTACAGAATTGAAAACTTGAATTTAAAAAATAAAAACTTGCATTATTTTCGAATAATAAGAAAAATGTATCAGCTATATTTTTAATGTATAAAGATCGCAGTAGACATTCTTTACGGAAACTAATTTTAATAATATATATAGACATAATCCACGCAGGAATTCTCTCAGAATAGAGTTTCAATATTTTTACAGAGAACACAAATTATTCAAAAGAATTTCCATTTCTAACCTCATCTGTCTCTTGTGGCAAGTCTTCAGAAAAACTGAGATTAATTTCGCTGCTGACAGCTGAGAGAAGTCAAGTTCAATTCAAGATAAATGTTAATTTTTATCAAACTTTGAATCTTGTTATATTTTTATAGTCTTTAAATGTTACAATATATATTGTTGCCATGGCAACTTGAATATGGGAGAAATCTGCACCATAAATGGAAATCATTCAATTTGGGTTAGGTAGGGTGAAATTTTAGAAAAAAACATTGAAATTTAGGACAGAAATATACTTCCTCAAGTGAAAAGTTCATAAGCTGCTAATGTATTGCTAATAAATTTAAATCCTGGTTTTGTTTTCTGGTTCAAATTGTTAATACTTGGTTTGTTTATTGTAAAAGAACGGAACTCTGAAATTATTATTGCGACAGCTCCAGAAAAATAGGTCACATTGTAAAAAAAAAGTGACATCAATGTTAAGAATTGAACAGAATGAAAATTATCACCAAGTACTCTAGAAGTCTTGACAAATCTTGAACATCTCCACAAAAAATAGAAGCCAAGAAAATATAAGAGTTTTAAACATTGGAACTTGTCAGTTAATATGCTTGTCATACTTTTTACTGTTTCAGAAAGTTGTCAAATTTCTAAAAAACTAGCAAGGCAAGAAAATTAGTAACGAAGTCAAAAAGACACTTTCTGAATCTAATTAGTTGACTGTTTTTATCTCCGCAGCTAAAAACCATTGACCTTTTTACGTGGCTAATATTAGTTCTGAGATATTGACTCTAAAATTCACACTTTCTCTCGACAATCTAATCAACTTCCTAACGTCATTATGAATACTCGTTAATGAGATGAACAAAAAACGTCACACAAAATTAGATCAGGTATTGATAGAATCTTCACAGGTTTTAAGACCTTGTATTTGTCAGTTCTTTAAGGTATTGTGGGCGGATTTCTGATTGGTTCAGGACCAGCGAGAGATATTTTCGATTTATTCTGCTCTAGCATTTGTTTTACCGATACGTCATATTTATTTATCGTGCAGATTTCTCTCCATTTTTGCCTCCATTTTTGTCTTTCCTGAAATATTGTAATCCTGAAAGTTGTTTGTGAAAAATAAAAATTGTCCAAAATGTAACTTAGTTAAATAATGCATGAACGGCATAAATTTGCATAAATTATTTATTGTAATTTCATTGGTTAATTTAGATTTAGTATAGACCAATAGTATAATAGAATTAAATTTTGAATTTAAAATTTTTAGATTAGGAGATGGTTAGCAATGAATTTTTTTTTTCAAAATCAAAAATTCTAACCCCAATTTTTGAATTGTATTTTTCTAACATTTTCAATTTTTCAATTGAACCCTGCATGAAACAAAGGGTCAAATTTTTTTGCAATTTTTTTCGATCATCACTCACAAGCAGCTTTCAGTGTTACAGAAATTTTGGATGCAAATTGGCAAAACTGAAAAAAAGGGCCCCTCAATAATGTATTAGAAGTAGACAAGTTGCATAGTGATGATGTTACACAAAATGATGATGTCATTCCTAAAAAATGATGTCACTCCTAGGTGATGATGTCACATTTTAGTGATGATGTCACTCCTAAGCGATGATGTCACACGATAAACTAACCACTTCAAACTCTTGCTTAGTGTTATGATGTAATATGTTTTATGTACCCCGCCCACGGTGGTGTTTTTCAAACTAAGCGATATGATTGGTTGTAACTATGATAACGTATTTATGTCAGAACGAGTCTTCGGAATGATTTGCTTCTAGTGACCCAATTAGCATGTCTTTCCTGATATCTTCACGTCAATCGCTACGTTATTTAGTCCACGTCTGCTATGCAAAATGAAAGTAGCAATATGGAGATTTTTTTTAACGAATTAATCCAATCAGATTGCATGATTTAAACCATGTGATATGTATTTATGATCTATATATGGTCAAAACATGATAAACATTGAACGATGCCATAAATTTTCTGTTTCAATGCACGAATTTTAATGCATGGACCTTTATTTTTTCCTACGCATGCAGGGTTTTGGTTTCGTAACTTTCGCAAATAGTGCTGATGCAGACCTGGCACGTGAGAAATTGAACGGCACGGTGGTTGAGGGGAGAAAGATCGAGGTGCCTGCATGTTTTATAATTATTATATATTGGTAGCACAATACCAGCCTGTGCTAAGTATATTTCTATGTATATGTACAGTATTAAGAAATGCCTGCCAGTTGTATGTGCGTTTATTTTTAAAATTGTTATGTCCCCTTTATTTACTCGTCTTAATGTACCTAGGCAATTGAGAATTTACTTATTCTTTTATTGGGTCTTTGCCAACAATTTGGCGAGAATTATGTGTTCAGTATCAACCTTTTTGCTTTTGTTTGTGAATCGTCATGACAACTAACGGATGACTGCTTTGTGTACGGAATAGAATCAGTATGTTGCACGTTTCAATATTTTGGGTGTTTAAACACTTTAATAGCTACTGAAACACTGAGAGTCATCTCCCTTTCTTCACCAAAGTTAAATTGTGCATCTCGCATTTTTCAAAAATTTATTCACTATAAAGAGAATGTTGATGGCCTTGACCCCTGGGTCGTGTGTCATCGGGTGACAAATAAAAGCATGCAAGGGATCTAGACACATAATTTTTTTTAACATTTTGCCTTCGTGGAACTCCTCCCCAAAAATCATCGAAATTTTTTTCTTTAGTTTCCTCTGATTGGTGTGTGACTGGTTGTCAGGACAACCCAGATATTGTCATAGGAACTAAGTACGTTAACATTTCAAAACTAAAATTAGTCGTGGATTTTAGACGTACGATGTTGCATTAAAATTGATTGAACTCACAATTGGGCATTTCTTCTTGCTGTATATTGAAAATTTTATGAATTTTGAATTTCTTTCCACGAAATATGTCAATTTCGAAACAACTCAACTTTAAATCAATATTTTATAATTTACAAGTAAATTGTTCAGAATTTGACATATTTTAAAGTTAGGTTGACTTTTCAAAAGAATTTTAAAAATTTGGTAAAACTTCCAATCTGTAAGTTTACTGAAAAAGAAAGGTAGGAACCTGAGAAACCTAACTGGAAAATTGAAACCTCAGTGAAATCCTTCATTCTAAATTTAAAAAATATTAAAGAGAGGTCATCTCTATTAATTTACATTAACAGTAATTCCTGTTGTATCATTTTTATTCATTATGATAATTTGTTCCTGATAATTTAACTTCTGAACTTGACGTTCCATTTATGAAGGTTTGGCTTAAAAAGAATCAAAACTGACTTCACAAAATAAAAAATTTAAAATAAATTCAATGAAGAAGGGTGGCAACTGAGATCTAAAAGTGAAAAAATAAAACTAATTTCATGTTTTTGCTTTTTGTGTTTATCAGCTGCAATTTTATAATTTCTTAAAAATCAAAAAAAATATTGCAAAAATTTCATAAAAAAATTAATTTTTACCCTACACATTCAAAAATTTCTGGTAAAATGATTTATAGGGTTAAATGATTAAAGGAGAATTACAGCTGATATTATGTGTTGCTTTATAAAGCTGCTTGCCTAGGCAGATTTGGGTAACCATGGAAACAATAATTTTGAGATTCATGTGATTTAGGAAAATGTTGATCACGAAATAGAAAATGAAGTTGTGATTATTTGTAAGAAAACAGAATTTGAAATTGATGAGTAAAATAATATGTCTGTTTCCATGGTTACACAAATTTTATTGCTGCTAAAACAAATCAGCTTAGTCAAGTCTTATTATTATAGATTGTGGTTTGATTCCAAATTATTTTTAAATTCTTTGTGGGGCAAATTCAGTTGAAATATTTTATTGATTTAATGATTGCTAGTGGAGCAATTTCCTCTCAAATTGTTACTTTTTAGAGGTTTCAAAATTGCTAAAGCTGAGGGCTGCCTTACCATTTTCCAATTATCAAAGAAAACCTCACATCTGAAAATTATGAAGCGTAAGATAATCGTCAAAACCACCGTTTATAATAATATTAGAGATATTTTTGAAAAATTAAATTGAATTTCAAATATGGCCTCAGGTTTAAAACTAGTTTCCTTTTCTGTTATTTTCCAAAATTCTTGTAAATTGTAAAAAATTGTTTCAATGAAAATTTAATTTTAAAGTTTAGAAATCTTTTAGTTTATTATTTTAAAGTAAATTATATTTGAGTTGTAATTTTGTTTCTGTATTTAAGAAACCGAGGCTATATTATTACAATGTTTATATTGCTGGAGGAATTTTATAAAAACTTGCCTTAGATCCTGAAAATATATATAGAAAAATTAATTCTGTAAATCAGGTTTTTTGTTTTTTTGAAGCATTACCGTAATTGAATTTATGAAATGTTTTTAAAAGTATCAAATTAAGGATATTTACAAGAATTGGCTGTTGAAATAACAATTTATACTGAATTTTTTACAATTTCTGAATTTTAATTTTTTCAAATCCTTAAAGACTTCAGAATAATAATATCTACCAGCAAATAAACTTTGTGATGATTCAATAATTATAAAATGATTTACGAATGACAATGTTTTAAATATCCGTTTATTAATTTCTCTGTAATAGGTCAATAATGCCACTGCTCGAGTCATGACCAAAAAAGCTGCTGCACCCACCGTACCCAATGGTAAGCCAATGAAATTCTTTCCGGGTCAAAATCAGATTTGTTGATTGGTTGATTGGTAACTGCACTGTAACTGTTTCTGAAATCTTCTTCAGTACTCCTGATGTTGATTGGCTGAAATTTTTGTTATGTTGAGGTCAAATCAATGAATGGAAGCCTCCAAAATGTTTATAAAATTGACAAATCTGATTTTACAATGACCTTTGACCTTTAGTTCAAAACATCAGATCAGCAGCAGCTTTTCCATAGCAACAGAATTGTGATAAAAATTTGCATATTTCTGCCAATGAATGGAAATAGTAAAAACTAATATTTTAATGTGGTCACTAGACTGAGTGTGATCCCTGGAATCGTAACTTGGATGTTTCTCGGATGGGGACAAAGTTATGAAAATTGATAAAATTGTTGAGTAACTTCTCACGAAAATTAGAAAATATTTATTTGTCACTGTGTATAACTCGCATCTCCAGTTATCAACCCTTTTTTAGGGCACAAAAGCTACACATTATACACATATTTTTATGAAAATATCAGATGTGCTCTATTTTCTTTTTATAATTTGATTCTTGACATCTTGGCATTTTGAAATTTGTCCAATTTATCAATTTTCTGACTGAAATAAAACAAGTTACTAACTATTTGACTGGTTCTGGGATATTTTATTGTCAGAATTAGATGCATTACAATATATTTTATGTTTACAGGGTGCATGAGCTATCATTTTTTTCATTTTTAAAAATTTTGACCCAAATATTTAAGTTTGCTATTGGAATGAATCCAAATTCAGCATGATTTATTTATTTTTTGATTGAAACCGATTTTTATTGTCATGGAAACCGATTTTTAAACCAAGTAGCTTTTTAGGAATTTTCAGACCCCTTTTATTTTTGAAGCCCCATTTTCATTTTTGCTTTGTTTTTATGCCTGTTTTAGAAAATTGGAATATTGTGCATAAAATTCACTGCAAATTGCACATGCTTTTCATGCTGCGCGATGTTTGACAATGTTTTTACGATGTTTGACAATGTTTTACGATGTTTTACGATATTGTACCTACGTCTAGTTTTAGATGTAACAGCATCATGATACTCTGTGGAAATATCAATTCTGTTGTTACTATGGAAACTGCATGTTGAATATCAGATTGTTAACAGGATTGTTATTGTCAATCTAAAGATTGTTCCGTCTTGAGGCTAAAATTATTTTTTTGGTTAGATATTTTGACAGCACTGGAGAATTAAAACTATGTCAATATTCATGAGTGAAATCAGCTGAAGAAAGTCTTCTATGAAATTTCAATGATTTGATAAACCAAAAATAGGCTTAAAGTTACAGATAAAAAGTCAAAATTAAATATTAAACTGTTACATTTGAAAGTTCCACCATTAACTGATATTAAGCCAAATGTCATAATGGGATAAGAGTGGATAAAAACACACCATAATAAAGTCATTAAAATAAGAAATTATAACTTCAGAAAGCCACATTCCTAGTTTTTATTGTACCAAGGAGAAAAAGATTGTCTTGCCTCTACTCTGATTGTTTTCCTCTCCTCTCATTGTTAAATTTAACATGTAAAAAAAGTCAAGGTGTTAGATCACAATGCTGTTGATTTTATTCAGAATATGGAAATAACTAAAACAGACTGAAATTAAAACTAGAATGAAAAATGACATTACCAGACAGAATCTGAGTCAAACTTCATGAATATTAATGAAAGGGGGAGATATTTGATATTCTCAATGGATCTCCGGGAACATAATCCTGTCATGAATGACGATCATTTGTCTTGTTCACGGCACGCTAAACGAACATTAATATAGAAATATACACTACAGATGTTTCACAGAATAAATTTCAACTGTAAATTGTTGAAACGTTGTATACCATAGGAAGTAGTATTCTATATAAACTGATGATGACAATGTAAATTGTTGAAACATTGTATACAATAAAACTCAGGAGTAGTATACCATATAAACTGATGATGACAATGTAAATTGTTGAAACATTGTATACAATAGGGAGTAGTATACCATATAAACTGATGATGACAATGTAAATTGTTGAAACATTGTGAACAATAAAACTCAGGAGTAGTATGCTATATAAACTGATGATGACAATGTAAATTGTTGAAACATTGTGTACAATAGGGAGTAGTATACTATATAAACTGATGATGACAATGTAAATTGTTGAAACGTTGTATAAAACTAGGGAGTAGTATGTCATAATGACTTTCCAGTATTAAATGTGAACTCTCTTAATGATTATATTTCACTATCGTCAGTTAACTTGAGCTTAAAAAGCTTAGTATTCAATTTCTAGCTCAAGCTTATGACAGTTCAAAATTTCCCTCATTGTACACTGTAAATATTATTGAAATATTGGAAAACTATTATACTGTATTTTAGAAAAAAATATGATATTCTGAATTTGACAAGAAGATTTGACAAGAAGATTTGACAAGAAGATTTGACAGAAGATTTGACACACAATTATAACGTAGCTAATAAATTCACAAAATACAGAAAAAGAACTCTTGAAATTGATTGTCATTTCTATTAGTATGTCTAAAACTCTTGGCACCGCGGAACTCTCCTCTAAAGGAGGAAGTTTTTGTCAAAATAAATCGATATTTGTGAAATATTACTCGTGAAGATTAGATCATGTAAGATGTAATTTGTTTTAAGAAACACGTCAATTGTGAGGATTTGACATTTACCCACTAACCAACATTAAAATACATTATCTCATTTTATACCATCCTTTTAAAATATCAGATTTAAACAAACGAGGTATTTTGTGAGACTAGAAAATAATCATTACGCATAATAATTCCAACATTTTTCTGAAAATAAATGTTTTGACGTTTGAAGTTTGATTTAAAAAAATTAGGTGTTGTCCAAATGTGAAACTTTAATCATCATTTTCATGAAAAAGTTCTTCTGCAAATTTTTGACTTTAGAGAGTGATATTCCTGGAACTTGTGTCTTTGACCTCGAAATATCCTGAAAATTTTGGCCCATTTCCGAAAACTTCAACTCAATTCATATCATTAAACTTAATATAAAAAAAACTTCAGGTCTCTATTGATCAATAAAATGTCATTTAAAATTCATCAGACGTTGAACTTCTTGCTGTCATTTCCTTCTTTTTTAATTCATCCTGTCTTAAACAGAAAATAGCCTGGCTGATGCACTAGACACATGTTTTTGGTCTTTTACGATGTTAAATGTATGAATTTAGTTGTATTTGGCAAGAATTCTGTTGTTATGGAAATGTTTTTGAAGAATTCTGTTGTTATGGAAATGTTTTTGAAGAATTCTGTTGTTATGGAAATGTTTTTGAAGAATTCTGTTGTTATGGAAATGTTTTTGAAGAATTCTGTTGTTATGGAAATGTGCTATGTAGACTGTCAGGCATGGTGCCAATGTTGACTGCTGAATTTGAATTTATGTCCCAGTAGAATGTAACTGAATTGTCCCCCTTGTTATTAGAAATTAATGTTAATAAATTTAAACGGCAAAGATCATGAGAATGACGTAAAATATTTTGAACTTTTCAGTTCCTTTACCAGCTGCTGCATTAAGAGGTGTTGCTCTAACGAGAGGACGAGCTGCAGCTGCTGTAGCTGCAAGGGGAGCTTACTCTGCAGCTGCTGCTGCTGCTGCCGCGGCAGCTTTACGACATCCCACACCATTGGCTGCTGCCGCTCCATTACAGTATGCAGCGTAAGTTACTTAACCTATTTAACCTATTTATTGAAATTTTTAGTAACCAGTAACCAATTGTCTGATTAGTGATAAGGTGTTGTGGGATTGAAATCCTTCTCTAGATAAAAAAAATTACAGTACTTCCTTGAATCTGCCGTATGTTGGCTTTCACTCTCCCTTAAACTCAGTGTCAGAAAAATATCATTTTTATTTCAGTGGTGGTATTTATCAGGATCCATTTCTTGCCACATACGATGCTGCAGCTGCCAGGTATCAGTTAGTTACAACTCAACCTTATGCTGCAGCTGCAGGCTTCCCTGGTGCCAGATACGCTATCCCAGCTGTAGCATCAGCTGCACAGTAAGTTTTAGACTTTCTCTTGTTTTTATTGGTTGGAAGGTTATGATTGTTTTAACCACAGAAATATCAATGTTAAGAAGTTGGGTCATTTGAAACTGTATCTAACTATTTATCTTCATCCTAGTTTGGGATGTTTTTAGGGTTTTTTATTTCAGTTATCTCTTGTGTTATATCACCTCAATATTTGGCAAAATGGACCTAAACTTTGAACATAACAGACAAAAGTAGTTGCTGTATTTCTATTTTTTATGAAAGGTTTTGTTTTTTTCTGTTGTAGACTTGGCAGAGGAGTGGAATATGCTGCCGACCCCTTCCTTGGACACAGTATTGGCCCTATGGCTGGATATGGTGTAAGTAGACCCTCTTTTATCCCTTAGAAATCTTAGGGGCCTTAATCTTTTCAAACTGAAATGTTCCAGTCATCTGATGAGTCACTAAAATTGATTTTGAATATTGTTATTTTATTCAATCAGATTACTGTATTTCATATTCTGGCTTGGCTTCCATATTCAGTTTACATCCTCCCCCAAACAACATTGACAAAAAACTTGAAAACGGTCTTCCTTACATGGATTTGTATTTTTCAGGCAACCGTATACAGAGGTGGATATCAGAGATTCGCTCCGTATTAGATCAAATTATTTTAAAAATCGACAATATTCGTCACAGTGCACAGCAGGGAGTTACAGACTCGCAGTCAATCACATGATAATCATGTGACAGTCATGTGACACGCTATGTATATAAAGGACGATTAAGGAATCTCATCTTCCAAAAATGCGGAAAAAAAACAGAACAATTTTAACAGACGAAGATATTTCTTAATGGAATTCCTAATGTTTTAGTTGTTTTGACTGCTGAGCACTAATTTTGTACAAATATTATTTTTATCTCCTTGTGGAAAGAGTTAACAAGGGAGATAACTAGTACAAACAATACTCATGCTATTAGCTTTATTTTCACGATTT